AAAAGTTCGTTTTTTTCTGTTAAAAAGTGCTAAACATCGAAAGTAAAACGAATTCTTCTCAAAATCGTTTTTTTTGAGATTTTCCCCCTTTTCTCGATCATTATAAGTCCGACTGAGCTGAAAATTGTTTTGGTGAGACTTTAACTAAGTTGTGGGGAGATTCTTTTTTTTTGTTGATACTTCTTACCAAAACATTTGGCAGGCTTCACAAAAATTCTAGTATCATGAAAAAACAGGTTTTGAAGGAGATCTTCAGTATTTTACTTCCCTATTCCGTGAGTTTTAGGAACTTTTCAAAAAAAATCCTCCTCACAACTTATTCGAGGCACTCCTAAAAAGTATTTCAGCTGAAACGAATGAAATCTGTGGATTTGCCAGGGGAAACCTTTAGGCGATTTTTGGACCTTATGGTCGCCAGAAGTCCATGTAGGAGGGGGGGGTCTGACAAATTTGTGCTTAGCACAGCTTTTGCTCTACTACTCGAGACCTATCCGCGCTGAAAGTTTCAAAAATTTTTGCCTTGCCGTTTCCGAGAAACCCCGTAAAGGGGAGGAGTGTCCAAGGATTGAGAAATGGGGATTCCAAGTAACATCACCTAAAACAGCTCAAATCCGAGAAGAATTGAGAACTGGTCTTCACACTCTTTACCATAACTTTTCAATTCTTCATCAATTTCTCTCGCCATAAATCAAATTACACAAAACAGCCGGATGCCCGCCCTCATTCACTAGATAAACCCACAGATCTACCAAAAGGAAATGATCAGACAAACATTCCCATTATAAGAATCGATGAAATGACCAGTATTCATAGTCAATACCTCTGGATGGAAATGTCCTAGCTGAAATCTCGTACGCAACATAATCAGTCACTGCATCGTCCACACTGATCGTTCAATGTCCCACAATGCTTAATACTAATACTTTTCTCTCAAACAAACAAGATATTATGTTGAATATCACCTAAGAATGAAAAATTGGGATCGAATTGAGGAATTGTGACAGTTCTGCTGAGAATATGTAGATATTGACCTTAATACTTAGATGAAATTAATGTTGATTTCTCCTAGTTCATTAAGATATTTTTTAAAGACTTTATTTCATTCGCATAAAGGGTTTGACAGAGAATGTTGATGAGCATATTGTTATCATCTGGTTATATATATAGTGAAAGTTTTAGTTAGTATTTATTTCATAGTTGAGCAAGAACAATAGGTATGAAAAAGAAATGGATAATGTGTTCATGTTATGTCCGTTATCAGCGTAATTCAGTAACTATTGAGCATTTGAATAGGAATAATTCCTCAAGTTTGTGATCTTGTGTTGTTGGTCATCATAATAGTTGATGGACGAAGGATGCTGGTTACTTTGTAGTTTGTAAAATCAAATTTGAACTGATCGGTTATTTCAGGTTCCGTTTGAAGACTTACATCGTTTTCTTCTTCATGATAAAGTGTATCGTTATTATCGTGCATAGTAGTTTGAGCATTAATAATTTCTTGATTTTGGACGTTGATACGTGTTGCTTGTTGAGAATCACTGGAATGTATTTCGTGTGATGGATATTCGACTTCTGCTTCGTGATTTTGGTTTAGATGATCGTGGATTATTTCATACCCACGTGAAAGAACATGGTGTCGTAAACGGCCTCAAACGGTAAAAGCGGTCACCTTGAGACCATCGTTTACGGTGAATCGTGAAACGGTTTGAAAACGATGAAAAATGGTAGTCGTTTCCTTTAATCGTTTTTTCCTAAAGCTTTCATCAATTGGTCTATGTATTATATTAGATAATGTATTCGTTACTATTTACATTTTATATGAAAGCTCATTGATAAAATGAAGAATGAATTGGTAACAATCGAAAAAATGAGGTATTTAAATAGCATCATGGGTAGGGCCATCTATGAAAAATTAAAATCATTCTGCAATAAATTATAAAGCTAAGTATTTTATCTTCAGTAAATAATTTTTATGAGCTATATAAACAGTTAATATTGTTTATTAAAATACTAAACAATAAATCGAACAGTAGTATTTTTATTAATTTATACTCTTTTTCTTTATTTTACATCATCTATAATGATATATTTAATAGTAAATAGTTTTGTAATTATTTAAATTCTTTTTTTTAATTTCTAGATTATCTATAACAATAAATTAAATGGTAAGTATTTAGTTACACCAGGGCGACAGACAGGAGTGAAGCAGAGAAGGAGTGGGTGATGGTAACAGAAATTTGCTATCTGTTTAGATCATACGGCCAGATACGGACCGCAAAAGGTTTGTATTTTAACCGTATACGGCTTTAAAGATTCCATTATTCCACTATTTACCGACCGTTTTCGGATCGTAATCGGCTCCGTTTTCATGGATCTGGGTACTCTCATGTATAAAACGGCAAAAAGAACGTCGCGTTTCAGGCATGAAACGACTAAAAAACGATATGGACACGGTTCATCGTTATTCACCGAATACGACCTGAAACGGCGTTCGGAATCACCGACCTGGGATATATATCCGATAAGGTAAATTATAAACTGGAATTTTTTATGAAATTATCAAATCTTCCCGTTTCAGATCAAGTTTGGTTGATTATGTGAAGAAGCACAAAGAAAAAATGTTACTGATGAAGAAGATGATCAACAAGAAAAACTAACGATGTTAGTACGATTTGTCAATGAAAATATTGAATCTCCATTTCTAAATCAATATAAAGATTATGGTAGACAGAAAATATTTTACTGTCATATTATCTTGATATTTTTTGTATATTTTAATAAAGTTTATAGTGAAGATCTAGATAAAGATGTTTGTATTTTTAATAATGTATTCAAAAGATATCATTTTACTGTGTTTTATTAGAATCCATTTGTTCAACAAAATGTATTAAAACGTTTTTTGAAAAGTTAGATCTTTATTTTTTAATTCGAAAATAAACAAATTTTTTTTTTATTAGAATTAAAACTAATGAAGATTATCAAGAATTTCGTGAAGAACTTCGTGTGTTGGAACATCATATTGATAAAAATATATAAGAAAAAAATGGAAACGACTGAAATTTATCTTGATGTAATATTTGTTGTTTTTTTATTTATCTATAAAAGTTTATGTGAATAAACTGGTAATATATCTTTTATCGAAAAGATTTGAATTCATCATATTTTCATAAATGTATTTTGGAATTGTTTCTTCATTGAATTATTCTTGTTCTTGTATCCTATAATATTGAATAACATTTGAAATGTTCATATCGTTTATGGACAGTTTCTCTTGCATTGATTTGTCTTTCGTCAAGTTTAGTTTTAATTAAAACATTTTCATTCATTTTTCTATCCAAATTTTTTTTAATATGATAAATATTCCATGGATCGATGTCATTCTAAGAACATATTTATTTGTTATTTTTATTCAAAGTAATAATCTTTATCATTAAAAAAAATGTTCATGCATTCATATTTCTTGATCTTTTCTGTATATACCGTCATAAATCTTATCGACTGGTACCGACAAGAGGTGAGTAAAAATAATTATCAAAAAGATATTTTAATTAAAATGATAATGTAGATTTTGAAGCAAGTGAAAAAAATCAGTATTTGTTACCTGAGACAACTAATATTCGACCAATATATCATTTTCTTTCATCATCACAAGAGCATTCATCAGATATAAATAATATTTTACTACTATAATACAATTGTTTACAATGATACACATAATTATAAAATCGATTTACGACATCTCAGTTTTTAGCAACTGTTCATCTAATAAATTCCGTTGTAGACGACACAGAACAATACTAAATTAATATCTGCTGCATGTATATATCTATATATATTACATAAATATCACAAAAAAATCTCCAGTTGATCACCGGTTTGGACGTTCTGTCATAAATTATCCGACATATAGATTGTATTTGGGGTAAACGAGAGTCAATCAAAAACTCATTCTTTTTTTCTTTTAAAAAATAAATATGTATAATGTCTGTCTCATTGTGTATTTAAAAAAAAAGTAATTTAATATATCTTGCATTTTTCTAGTAAATTATTATATATATGAAATCAACAGTATATCATTTTCAGTTTATTTTTTTACATAAATTGATTAGTATTAAAAAAGTATGAGTCATATTTAATGTAATTTTATCTTTACTGATATAGCAAATACTCATTCTTTTTCTCTCAGACATATGGTACAATTTTTATTATTAGTTATATATAGATTAAAAAAGAATAAAATTTTATCTCTCTATTATAATTAACATAAGTAATTAATTGAAACAAAATATTTCTTTTTTTTATTTCATATTTTTGCAAACTAAAGCAGTAGTTTAAATGATGAAATTGATTCAAGAGGAAATAATTATCATAGATGTTAATTCATCAAATAGTATAGTTAAGTAGATAAAATGTGAATTATGATATTCAATTTTAACATCTGATATTACCAAATAGTGTAGCTTTTTTGTTTAATGAAAGATATGCAATTTCAAAAAGTAATCAAATGAAATATTTCTGATCGATACAAAGCAAAACTAAGATGAATAAAGATAAGTTTATATTTAATTATTCATGTGTACAAGAAAAAAGAAATATTAATCCATTTAAATAATATTTTATTCTTTTTTTTATCAGTTATTTAGAGTAAATTCGACATGACATAAAGAAACATGACTTGAAATAGTTGAACAGATGAGATTTACGTTGGAATAATATTTTGTTTTATTAGGATAATAATAGAATATTTTAATGAAATCACGGTTTTCTTCTACATCAAATCTTTGTTAATCATGACAAAAAAATATCAAATATTAAAAAGAAAAATGTTTTTATTTGAATAGCTAATAAATAAAAAGAACAGATTTTGTTTTTCTTTTATTCATATTGTAGTTATATCAGACTGACATTTATTTAACTATGAGAATAAATCTATAATTATTCATCTATCTTGTTCATTCAACTTTTCTTTTTAATTATTTCTTTATTCATTCATTTAGAAAATGAAATTAAAAACTTTCATTACATGGCTATATCAGAGAGTAGTTAATTACAATCTTTTTATATTAGCTGAAGATGATTATGATGATGATGATAATAATAATATTCAAGATCCAACAATTGTTATTAAACATCAAAAATATAAAACTTGGTTATATATTATTCTTCTTACAAGTAAATATATAATTTTTTAGTTAATTAATTATTTTAATATAATATCTTTTGTTTTTAGTTTGTTTTTATATATTATTTTATATACATTTAATAAAAACAAAGACATCAATTGTAATTGTTGAAGATATAACAATTGATTTATATAAGAAACTTTATTCTGAACATCATGAAACACTTTTATGTCCATGTTCAATAACAACAATATCTTATGAAAATATAACATCAAACGATGTAACAATACATTCTGTTTGTTCAAGTATTTTTGTTGATCCAATATGGATAAATGGTTTATATTTTGACAATGCAAGTCAATATGGAGTTTGGGATTTTCGAACAACAGCATATTCACAAGTAAATGTTTCTATATTATCTTCAAATTTATTTTTCTCTTTTTTTATTTAGTTTGAATTTTTATCGAGTTTTTGTTCACTTTCAAATGAAGTCATTTCTCAAACTCTGACTGATATTGATCATAATGAACTTATTTCTCTTTATCTTCTTTCTGACAAACAATTTCAAATTGAAATCAATGGAACAATCGAATATCTCAAGAATAGTGCAGCTACTCGAATAATAACATTTTTAAATTATTTAAGAAACATTAGTAATACACATTATTTCATTTCGGCTCTCAATACAAACTTTATAATTGAACCGAATTCTTGGCCAAATACACTTTCTAGTTTTATGGCAAACGAAGTAATGTATAAGAATAGAGAAAATGAAACCTGTGCTGGTCCTATACGAACAATTAATGCCACTCTTAGCCCGTTACCCTATCAATTAAATGAGCACGATAGGAGACATCGAATGGAGCCCATGTCTAATTCTAGTAATGTTACTGGATTCTTTGCAGCATGTACTCCTCTTCAAGCAATTCTCGAAAGTACCTTAGATTGTCTTTATGAAGTAGAATGTCTTCATTTATTACTCAAATACTTTCCAAATCTAAAAACAATAGTTTGTATCAAATTATTTCCTATTTCTATAAAATCTTCTTTCTTTGTTTCTATTCTATTTAGAACAACTTCAATCCAAATATTTCTGTTCTATCTTCAGAATATGAAAGTATCACTGTCGAGAAATATCTCGAAAATCTTTTCATCAAAAATTGGCCAACACAAATTAATTATATAAAATATTTTGATTTATGTTCTCCATCATCATGTTCATATTCAATAATAAAACGAACAGAAGTTGTTTATGCAATAACATTTTTGATCAGTCTTTATGGTGGTCTCGTCATTATACTTCGTTTGATTGCATCATTTTCTATTGATACTTTTATGAAATGGAAGTTTTATTTGAAAGCAAGAAATGAGAATTCATCAGGTAATATTTTAATTGAAATTATATAATAATTTATGAATATTTATTTGGTTCTGAGTAGAAGAAAGAATCAATCAATTGAAATTTATCGAAAAAATCAAACGTTTAAATTTATTTAAGAATATAAACGATCGAACAGAACAAAGTATTAAACGTCAAAAGTTGATTACACG